ATATTTTAGGGTATTTACAAATTAGTCCTTAAGTGTCAACTATAAATACCCTAGCTCATTTAACTTCAAAATCATCCCAAAGTATTCTAGCTTTCTTCCAATACTAGAAATAATATAGAGAATTTCTTGAGAGTTGTTTTCTCCTTTTTATCAAGAGAGAATTATCATTGTTTTCTCCTTGGTCGATTGAGAGAAGTTGTAATTCTTATTTTCTCATAGTGAAATTCTTCTACCGTTGCCCGTGGTTTTTACCCTATATTATTCAGGGGTATTCCACGTAAATTTTGTGTCTCTTTTATCTTCATTTTTATTTTCTCAAATTATCAGTTGCGATTTTGCTCTATCCGATAGCCGTATTCTGCAACAGCAGCTCCAGACCTCTTCAGAACCTAATGCAACATAGTCAGATTAAAGTTCAGATTCACAACAGACGAACACACACTCAAAAAGGAACTACAGCAACTTAAATAATTTAAAGAACAAATAAGTAAATCCTACCATGCTAAACTAAATCGTTCAAAGTTGAACTGAATACAATTTGTTCAAAGGAAACTTTTCCGGCTGATTTCAAGTTTATTACCTACACTTTATCAGGAACCAAACAAATAATTCTATACTAACATCTCTAATTACTGCAACAAAAACGATTTGAAGCTAAGAGGAAAAAATGAACAAAAACAAATACCCGGCCGCTTCGTCCGAGGGTGATAGTAATGCGGCCCTGCATATCCTTACACCTTCATATATATACCACTTTGGGGCGTGGATATTCAATCCCTAATCTTTCACATATAAGATTCTTAGATATAATATATTTAGATTAAAATATCTTCTTATAGTTCATATCCCTAATCTTTCACATATAAGATTCTTAGATATAAGATATTTAGATTAAAATATCTTCTCATGTATGAACTATATTTTATATAGAACCTGTATTTTTATGTACTCGAATCGAAGATTAAAAAAAACATTTATTTTTATTATTCAAACCTCTTAATAAGTATTAATTTTTTATTGATATTATAATTATTAGGAGAACATAAATTGGAACACATTTAAATATTATTTCAAAATATATAAAAATAAAATTAGATTAACTCTGTCAGCTTCTCTCTATCTTCCTGCTTGCTCTAATGGCTTAGGTATCTCCACGATGGTCTTCAAGTTCCAAATATCATCATCCCAAACATCGCTGAAGAACTCACCGGAAGCCAGGTCAACGTAATCAACATCCCAGAACGGCGACCAGAAACACCCCCACGGCATCAGTTCATCCACCGCACCACCACCACTTGACCACTCCAATTCCTCACAGCAATTCTCTAACGCCACCTCTCCTCCTCCATTACCATTAATATCACTCTTCCCATCATTTTCCTTCGCTTCTTCCACAGCTCTCTTGACCTTCGTTTTCCCTTCATCTTTCCCAACCTCCTTCAACAAGGCGGCGGCACCTTCTATATTGCTACTTCGTTGCCTCTTCATCTTGTTGATATTTGGTTTCTGTGAAATGAAAAAATCAGAAAGATGATATATTTATAGGTGAGAGAGATGATGGAGAAGAGTGTGTTTGTTTTGGAAATAGTAGAGCGGCAGTTTTGTTGCGTGAGTTGGTATCGTACACATCATCATCACATGCGAATGTGTTTGCCTCTTGGTGCAGAAGGGGGGACACGTTTACTGACAAAATCTACCGTTGCCGACGTAATTTCATCTATCAAGGACCTGTATTTAACAATCTAGACCCCGTTCATTGAACTCTCTGTGTGAGCACATGTTCTCAGAATTTTCAAGATTCAATTTGATATTATACATGGCATTCTGGAATTTTTAAAATACAATTTCTTAATACAAGATTAAAAAACGACAAAAATAAAAATTCTATCAATAACGTAACATTTTAAATTAGATATAATAATATTTTAAGTTAAAATAAAAATATTATATTTTTCGTAACATTTTAGATTGCAACTAAAAATATTATTTTATATTTTATTTTTAGTTATAAATCCTAAACCTCTATAATATAACTTTTCGATAGTAACCTAAAATTAGACTATATCATAATAAAATTACTTATAATTACTTAGAGGGTTGGTAATGAATTGAGTTAAAAAATCAATTTTATTATGAAAAGATTGTTCTTTTTTAATTTCAGTTATTTGAGTTAATCTATATTTGAATTTTAAAGTTTAATTTAATTAAATATATTTATTCAAAAAATAAAAAAATGAATTTGTTTATTCTATAACTTAGTCTTTTATTTCTTTAATTTTCTTTTCAATTCCTCTATAATTATAAGTATTTTTAATAAAATTTAAACTACACACTCTTAAACCATTGTAAAACATATATGTACATTCAACTTTTTTATTTCTTCAATTTCATCTTTAATTTAAATTTATTTTTTATCAAATCCAAATTGCATGTTTCAGTAACACCATAAACTATCTATGTAACTTTAATATCAATTATTAACATCAAATTTATTCTTTTGTTAAATTGATCATTTGATTGACTTTTTGTAAAAATTTTCTTCCCATCAATTGTTTTAACTCTTTTATATTCCTGTTAATAATTTTTCTTAAAAATATATTATTTAAAGATAATATAATAAATATATTTTATAATTTTAAATGTTTTTAATTTACTATATAATATTAAAAATTATAAAACATTATATAAATATAAATTTTTTATATAATTAGAAATTTTGATGCACGAACAAACTTATCTTAGTGGTTAAAGGAATTGTTGTTGTTTCTAGAGGTCACGGGTTCGAGCACCAATGATTGCAACGGTGATTGAACGTTCATTGTTAAATGGTTAAGAGTACTTAGAACAGATTCTACTTTGTAATCACCTTTAGCTTAATAAAAAATTGATTTAAATTGAAATCTATGTATAATATAATATTATAATTAATCTTTTAGAATATTAAATTATTTAGTTAAAAGTTTTAAATTAAATTTAAATGATAAAATTAGAATTGTCTGTTTAGCTCAGTTGGTAGAGCACAAGGCTCTTAACCTTCGAATCGTGGGATCGAGTCCCACGGTGGGCATTTCATAAATTATGAGGTCTCCTACAGAAGCTGCTCTAACCTGGCGTTGTGGACAGCCTACTATCCTACCTCCCCTTATCCCGTTACATATGGGAATAAGGGTAAGCTAATTACATGATAAAATTAAAAATATATATATATATACTTTACAAACCCCGAAAACTAAATGCATTTAATTGTTATTGTTTACAAACCTTAACTTTGAGACGTGCATGTGTAGGAGCTTATATATAAGTAAGAGCCTGCTTAGACTACCAATGCTGATTTATGACACTGTTGATTTTAAAATAGATAATGTTGGTCGTAGAAATGTTCCCCTTGTCTTTCTAAAGTCGGTTGATCTCCAGGAATTAGGGTTGAGTCATAAAATTGAGAGAAAAAAAAGCTGATTTAATTAATATTATGTAGTTAAATCCGATTTCAGGTTTTTATTTTATGATTTAGTTTTAATTAAATTTAAACATTTAATTTTGTAATTTGATTCAGTTTTATTTTTTATATAAAATCATTTATTTTATATTAAATCGAATTAAAAAATGGAAATAATGATTTAAATCAAATTTATTTGAATATGTTATAAGACAAATATTAATAAATAAAATCTGAAAATTAATAATATTATTTTTTGTACATTTAAATTTACATGTTTGTACTCAATTTAAGCTTGAAGTTATTTTTTTAATATTAAATTTGAAAATAATGAATAATCATAGATTATAAAATTGAATTGAATCGAAATTTATAATTTTTAAGTCTTTTGATTTTCGATTTTATTTAAAAGAAATCAGATAATATAATTTGATTTATCTTTCATTGAAAAACTGAACCGTGAATACTCGTACTAATAAATGTGGGTTGAAATATTGTTAAAGCACAATTGCTACATATTTAAAAGATTATAGATGATTAAGATATTGAATAAAAAATATATAAATAGATGTGTTTTAGGAGGGAAGAAAAGGATGAAGTAGAGATAAAATCTCATCCAGAGTAGGGAAAGCGCCGGTGCGTTCGAGACATTGAACTCACCTCAGTTTTGTAGTTTCTCAAACAGCTCATAATATATGTAACCACGACTAAAATATCTGAAGAAATTTTACATATTTGTTATCGAGTTTACGTTATTTTCAAGTTCTAATCATTAAATTAAAAAGAAGGGAAAAATCTAATTTCATTTCGAATGTTCAATGCTAAAGTCTCGTAAGGAGAGAGAGAAAAACAAAAGGCTATAGAGCCCCAACACAATGATATGCTAGGTGAGAGAGAGCATCATGTGCCATGATGGCCGTCTGGTGGAAAGAAAAGAAAAAGCAGATCACATGAGCGGACTTGAGGTGTTTGATTGTAGGATTTGTTATTACTAACAAGAGCTTTGACATTTTCCTACTCCATTTCTCAGATTGCTTCGTCCTTATTCACAGTTGACAACAGCATAATAAAAGTTGGCTTTGGTCCCCCAATCTTCTGAGAATACTGACATTCACCGTTTCAGTATCAGGGATTCTGTCAGGCACTGGCGTGATTCTTAAGCAAACTGCCTTTATGGGATTCCATCAAAAGCACAAACATGAAAAGGATATCAACAATTTTTTGGTCTATATATACCCTATTTAGTTAATGACTCGATTACAACTTCATTTTTTGTACAAATTTCTTTCTCGACTTCAGACTCCTAACAAAAAGAAACCAAAAAACAATCGACCTCAAGCCACCTTCTAAGCGACGCTACCCCCTTATTCCTTTTAAATGAACTCATATGCTTACAAGACGACATCGTTTTGATTACATACAAAGAATCCCTTTCCTTTAACCATATATTTACACTAAAGAAAGAGCTCTTTGCATTTTCTCTTTCCTCTTTTTGGTCTCACTTAAAAGACTTCAAAATTCTCTCTTCTTTCATGTCTATGTACTCTTTGCAAGTTGAATCGGGTTCTAGGCCAACGCCGGGATGCTGCAAATCCGGTGATCATTGTCTCGGCAATCGAACCCCTCAATTCTCACTGCCGGTTTGTTAACAAAATTCCCTCGGATGCAGCCTCCTTTCCTTGAAGAGGATGCCGGAGACGATGAGGGAACGCCTGACATAGGCATCTCTGACAGTGGGGTGAGGACCTTGTCGTCCCCAAATCGAGCATCTTGAATTAATGGGTTATCTACTCTACTCGGCGGCGACCCACAAAAAAATGGGGGCGACGACGCTACTTGTTCCGCTCTACAACCACCCTGCTAAATTCCAAAACCAATCAGCAGATTAGCGGTTCTTCTCGCGGATGAAATTTGGAAAATCAATACAATATTCTTCTAGAATTTCTTTAGTTGGTACATTAACTAACGGTTATATTTTAAATGGTCCCCCCACAAACAAAATACTTGCATCGAGACGTCGCCATTGTTCCAAAGCTAAAGATTTATTTATTTATTTATTTATTCATTCTATAATCAAGGAATATTTTACCGTTTCCTTAAAACAAGTCCCATTAAGTCAACCTTTTCTTAGTTCGTCAATTTAATCAAGATAAAAGAAGGGTACCTTTGTAAGAATCATATCCAAAATATCACTCCCTGCTTTTGAATCACATAGCTCGGTTTGATGGCTGAAAATCAACAAAAAAAAATTGTAACTATTTCTGTTTAAAAAAAAAGGAAAAATTGGCCAAATATTGAAGGCGGTCATGGAATTAGAGGAAATTACCTAATTTGCCATCTGAGGGACCTAACAGGGTGGTCGTTGAAAGAGTTGTTTAGGAGGCCCAAACGACGTGGTTTCGGGCAGACCACGGTCTCTCTCCAATCCGTAACCATAACTGAAAAGGAGCTCTGCAAATCCTCACGGTTACTTCCAGTAGCGGTTCGTTGGATCGCATACTGCTGCATCATTTGTTCCTTCGACCTTTTTTAACTGAAATTCGATATCCCTATTTAACATAAAAATAAGTTCAATCACACATCATCTTCAATAGAAACCGAAAATTTAATCGTAGACTTGTTGCAGTTTTCTTTCTAGGGTTAAATTTCCACAATTACTGTAAATCAGTTATAGATCGCTAGATCTACAGAAGCCAAACAAATATATAAATAGATCTAACTGCAATTTGGAGCCGTAAAAAATATTAAAAATCTAACGCAGCTTAGAGAAGTAATTCATACAGAACAAATCAGCTTAAAATTACAAAAATAAAATTTTGTTAGGAAATGATTCAAATCGAGGAAGAAACTGAGGAAATCTTGAAAAAGGCGTTGTTTGGAAACTGAAATCATGGAGGAAAACAGCACTACAAATTAAAAACAAAACAGAGAAGTGCTCATACCTTTGATTTGAACTGTACAGCTGCGTTGAGGAACTGTTGGAGTCGGTACTAAACCAAGAACATAGAACGATATAAAAAATGAGGGGGAAAAGCCTAAAAAAAGCACGGAGAAACAAGATAGAGAAAGAAATAGAGCAGAGATGTTAGGCCACAGAACAAATAAGGGCAGTGGGGAAAAGGTCGCGTGCTATTTATAGGAGACAGGGGGGGGGGGAAGAGACAGAGAATCACGAAAATTGCTAATAAAATGAAATAAATTAATAAAAATAGCAGAAGTCGTAGGGCAACGTGGCAACATCACAGCTAAGAATAGAAAATAAAAAACTAATAAAAAGGAAAAGAAGAGGAAGTATACTGTACTTGAATAGTGAAGGCTTCGAGTTCAATTTGAATTCTTATTTTGATTTTAGAAAATAAGATTGATTCTCATATGTAAACTTTATATTTAATTTTTTGTTAATAATTATTATTTGATATATTGATGATTATATTAAAGTAACATTATGATGATAAAAACTCATATATTAACAATTATCTTTTTATTAACATGGTTTAATTATGAGAATATTAGAAGATATATTAATCAAATTTATATCATTTTAGTTCTTATTAACATTGAATTTTTAATTTAATTTATAAATGATTCGTACATATTTTTATATTATTAGATATATATATATATATATATATATATATATATCTTTTTAAATTATTTATGAAAGTAACACCATTCAAATATCATAGATCAAAATATTTTATTTTTCACATATAACAAAGATATATTCTATCAATAATATATTTTGTAAGTTTGACATGACGCACATTTATCATATATAATATTCTAATTAATGAATATAAAATAGAATTTTGATTTTCACAAAAAAGTGTTTGATCAATCACACCTTTTAAGAATTTAAAAAATTATTTAAATGAAATAGTTATTATTTAAATTATAAGTATACTGCAAAATTTTAAAAAATAAAATCATAACTTTGTGTTCTAGTTCATTTTTACCTTTAGTTTTGAAATTTTAAATTTTTATCTATGATTTAGAAAATCTTTAACTTTTTTTAGCTTTACAAACATAAAATTCAATTTTTACACATAGATATATCATAATTAATAAAGGTTTGGGAAATGTAATTGTGTTTTTTCAAAATAATATTTTTGTTTTTTTCATTTTAATTTCTTTTTCGTTGTATCCTTATGGTGAAAAAATAATTAAATCAGTCAATAAGGTTAGTTTAAATAATAAACACTTTGATATCGCTTAAGTAAGGTTTTGATATCAAGTTTTTGTACATGTAGAAAATCACTGTTAGGATACTCACACACCAAAATCAAATATACGACATGAATCGATCCGGATTAATTAAAGTGAAACCTTAAAATCAGAATAACAACAAAAATAAAAAGAATAATCAAATAAAAGTGGACAATAATCACTATTAACTTTAAAAAAGTTTAACAGCAGTTGACACAATAATTTTAACCCATTTTTTCCACGCAAGATATGATAATTTATCTCTCTATTAATATAGATTTCACCTCCTTCACAAAATAATGATATGAAAAAAACCATTTTATTCAAATTCTAAAAAGTATGTTGGCCAAATGCATTTTTTATATAAATTGAAGCATCTATTAACTGAGATATAACGTAGGATGACAAAAATAATCATCATTTTTATAAATAATTTTAGGAGAATATTGATTATATAAATAATATTAAAAACCAGTATGTTTATATATTAAAACCCATATCTCAAATTAAATTAATTTTAAATATTGGAATTTTATTAAATAAATTATTTATATAAATGTCCACCAATTACTTTATTTGCAAACATATTGCCCTTTATAAAAAAAAGGATAAAGTAAAGAAAGGGTCCTCGATCCTAGGATTTTATTTTGATGGATCTTTTAACTATTTAAAATTATAAAATAATCCATTAATTAAAGGGTGTTACTTTATTGAGTTCCCTTATTATTAAAAGTTATAAAATGGATAATTGACTATTCATATGCTACAAACTCGTCATTTTTTGTTAAAAAATAGCGTTCGTCTTAGCTGGACGTTAACATATTGATTGAGATATGATAAAATATGATTCAAAAACTGTTTGAGTTGTATTTTATAGATCTACAATCCTTTTACATTATATTGTTGAACCATTACTTAAAAATAATAGTGGTGCTAATAGATATTATTAAAATATGATTTTATCATATCCTGATAAGTAGGGTTAACGTCCAACTTAGACGATAGTCGATTTTTTTAACAAAAAAGACGAGTATAAAACATATGAATAATTGAGGGACAATTTTATAACTTTTAATAATCAGAGAACTCAAAAGAATAACATGCTATATTTGGGGACCATTTGTATATTTTACCCTAAGAAAAACAAACCTGTTACCCGAGTTGCTTTGCATCGTGAGCTTGCGGATTGATAGTGGAGCTGCCATGTGATTTCGACACGTGTCCCTTGATATTTATTTCAATAATTTTTGTGTAAGCAGCGTGGTCGGCATGAGCGCGTGGTCTCTCTGTCTCTCTCTCTAAACGTCTGGTTTTTTTTTATAATTTTTGGATGAATCTACAGCAAACGCAATACATTAATATGTATTAATATAAATTTATAAATAGTCATTAAACTATGATAAAATGATATATTTGGTCATTCAATTTTTAAAAAAAATTATAAAATAAATATTAACTTTTAGATTTTATTAAAAAAATATTAACACTTGACTATCGTTAAAAGCTAATGTGACATATTAAATAAATAAAAAATCTCATTTGCTCCATCAATTGTGACTAAAATTTTGTTTTTGATATTTTTCAATAATTTTAAGTAATAATTCAAAAAAGTAGAAAAATATTTTTAAATATATGGTTTTTCAAAATTTATTTTTGAAATTTTAAATATATTTTTAAAATTATATTTAAAACTACTAAAAAGTTAAATAATTGAATCACGTTGTTTAATAAAAAATATTTAATTTTTATAACCAAAGTTATTGGATTTCAAAAATTATAAAACTATAAATTTTCAAATGTAACCACAATTAAATAAAAAATTAATTATAAGAAAATTTGAGAATTAATAAATTCATATTTAAAAAAATAATTATAATTTTATGAATTAAAAGACTAATTATAAAGTTATAATTTTTTAAAAAAAAATACTTTTATAATTTTAAAAATGAATCATGAATTTATATATATATATATATATATATATATAATTATTATTATTTCAAAATATTGAAAAATATCAAAATAAAATTTAGTTTATAATTGAGGGTTGAATGAGATTTTTTTATTAATTTAATATGTTAAGTTATCCTTTTAATGATAATTAAAGATGTGATATTCATTGTGTAATACAATTGATAGATTGATTGAATGAAATATTCTGTAACTTTTAAAATTCAATTATCAAAATGAATATTTTATTATAGTTTAATGACCATTGAAAAAGTTTACCTTTAAAATTAATGGTACATAGCATGTATTGTAGAATTTTCCATTTTCTAGGTAAAAAATTGTAACGTGATTACAGTTGGTGTGAGTAAGAGTATGAACACTGAACCGCAATGTTCGGATTTTAGTATTACTATTTGCTTTTATTTAAAAAAATATTTATACATCTATTGAATGATTTTAACTTTTATTTTAAAAATTAAAAAATGGGAAAATGTTTAAACCATGCCATTAAATGCCATATCATATATATATATATATATTAGAGATGATCATTTAATCTAAATTCGATAAGTTTTAATTCGATCGAGTTGATTATTTTAAATTTAAGTTTAAGATGGATCAAATTCTTTTATGATATATAATCAAATCGAATTAAATTCAAATTTAAAGTAAAAAAACTAACCTAAAATAATCTTATCATAATAGATTAAAATCTATTAAATATAATTTTTCCTAAATTTAATAGACATGATTTAAACTAAAAAAAAATCATTGGTCAAATCAAATCGAGTAAAGTTTTCAATTCATTTAAATTTAGTTTAGAAATATATTTTTAAATCTATGTGTATCGGGTCTAAAGAATTTCTGTGTAATTTAAAATTCGATCTAATCTTTAAAGTAAAAATTTATATTCGATTTGATTTGACGTAAAAATATATATATGATTAGATAAAATAATAATTTAATTGAAAAATTATAAAAAAATATTATTACAATCATTTCTAAATATACAAAAGACAATTATACTATTTTTTCCAGTTAAGTCGGATTCTTGTTTATCATAAATTTAAATCCAACCTCATTATTCATAAAACCAATCAACCCGAATTAGGATATAGAAAAACACTTGATATCATCAGATTAAATTAAAATCTATCAAATTCATATAGAATATATGACTATCCATATTTCAAATTATTGCATCAGTGGAATAGCATATCGTCCTGTTCTATCCAAACATCAGTTTATTTTAAAAACTGAGCAATACAAAATCTGTAAAACGAATAAAGTTGAGTACTTTATTAATTAGGAACATAAATATATGTATTTTTCGGTTCAAGTAAGACCTTAAAGACATCCTTTTACTTGACCTAACGCAACCTTACGAAAACATTACGAAGCAGGCAAAGCCCTACATTGAATTTATTTCAGGAAACTTAGAACCACCAAACGCAGAATCAGAACTTATATTAAAATTGCGATCATGTTTTCGATTGTGTCGTATTTAGTATAATTGACAGTTATCAAGATCATAAAATAATAATTTTAAATGATATCATTAACATTATATAATGATTACTATTTTGATAACGGATCGTTGTTTAAATCCTTACCTCGA